GGGTTGCAGCTTTCATAAAACCGAATGGCGTTGGCCGCTGCGGGTTACGGCAGGCGGCGGGCGGCGGACACGCGAGAATGATCGTCATGAACGAATGCTTCCGGAAGTCCCTCAAAACGAATCCAAAGCATTCAAAGATAAGACGGGGTGCATTGTTTAAAGCAATTGAGGATGTCCTTTAGTCAAATTAGCAGTTACAGCTACACGAAAAATGGATATTCTGCTTTAAATCTTTCAGTTCCACTCCAGATTCCCACACCACTTTACGGTGCTGTAAAGGCTAATCCGTCCGTACTATCAATCTAAAAATCGCACAGGCAAAATGTACGCCCGGACTTCTTTACACAAGCACAAATTGATATCCTAAAGCGTTCAAAGGCACTGCTTTCAGATCCGTCATCTTTTCGTCTGCTCGTTGACAGCCACTTAATGTCAGCCGACAGGCCCACGCCGCGCAGCCTACGGGTACTGCAACGCCGGACTTCGAGGTTTTAGCTAAGATTCGTGGGCGCGTGCGCTCAAAACCATGTTACATAATTTTTTATCAGTGATCGAATCTGGTTGAATGTTGCACATTTCAGGACGGACATGTGTTAACTATGTCACTGAGACTTTTGGACGGCATTTCGATCTACAGTCTGCCTTCAGCGGTTTTAAATATATCTGAAGAGCAAAAAAATCCGGCTAAGCTTCTGACTTCCATCGATTTAGAAAGAGTCCCCGGGCCATTGCAAAGTGAAGAGCGCCCGTGATTTCACGCAGACGTTCAGCGCTTGATTTCTGAGGTTGATTGAATCCAAAATGCAAGCAGAATTGATTTCGCGGCAGCTCCTGTTTTTTGTTCTACTCTGGTTGCAGGGAAAGATAATCAATGAAGCGAAGAAAGCCATGTTTCGTTGACAACTGAGCTGAATCCGGATTGTTCTTTTGAGAGGCCTTGACGCGTCAGGGGCTTTTGTGAACCCTGTGCTCGCCGTTGGCAAGGTTCATTAAGAAGTGAGCTATACCCGGCGTTTTTTTGGAAGGATCACCATCAGGGGGACCTTTGTCAACCCCGCGCCCCTCCCTCTTGGCAAGGCGCTGACTGCGCTCCCGCCTACATACAAGAGCAGATCAAGTTGGCTACGTTGAATTAGGGGTAAATAAATGCCCAGCGGCCCAAATCATGCCTATACACATTTAGTCATACCTGATCAGGCAGGCAGCTTCCCGAAGCATTTTTGTCTCTTGTGCTGTGGTGCAAGGGAAGATTATTCGAAACTATCTAGTATAGCGGATGTCCGATATATGCTTTACGCCTTAATAAGTAGCGATATTGATCCAAAAACATGCAGCAAAGCAGTCATACGACCAGTTCGCAGTTATGCGGGGACAGCCGGGCCAGGGCAGTGGCTGCCGACGGCAGATGGAAGCAGGTCTCGGATAACGAATATCCGAAAAGCCTTTGTTCTGTGACTTGTTTTTGGGGGAAGAAAATGGAGGGTCCTGTGGTTGTTGTCATATTGCTTTTGAAAATAAGTATGGCGAAGAATCTAATCTCTTGAAAGGCAGTCGGCCAAGCCTAGGCGCATACAAACTCTGGCGCACTATGAGCCATCGATTCACCCTCAAAATTCTGACCAGCTAGTGCCTCGGTCGTATTTTGGTACCTACCCTGTGGATGCAGATGCCTCACCAATTTCCCAAAATGACTCCCCGCTCCTCCTTCCCGGTTAGGAAGGTGGGGGAAACAGCTGTAGATGTCCATTTAGCATAGCAGACGTGTCATTTCACTATCTCGCAAATGTGTTGTGCCAATTAAGAACGGAAAATGTCCTCGATGCCTACCCCCTCCGGTCACCGCGCTTGCTTCCTAGTAAAAGCTCCTAAGTATTCACTGAGCCTGTTCCCCTACCTTTTTAAACGTTTCCACGCTTATTTTGTTCCGTGGGGCCATTCTGAGCTGTGGAGGGCCCATTAATGAAACCATTCTGAACTGTAGAGGGTCCATTAATGGGGCCATTCTGAACTGTAGAGGGCCCATTAATGACTGTAAAGAGCCCATTCCGGCTTTCAGGGGTCCACTATTCATTTTAGGGGCCCACTTAGCATCTTGGCATTGCCCCCTCCCAAACTTGAGCATGGTTCTCCCGCCCCTGTCTCAGACCCTGCCATTCTGCATAATAAGATGTGGTTGCGCCACTGGACACCTTTGATGACAAAAAACTAAGATATTGTTCTGTGAATTACACCCCATCCTAAGCATTTTACCAAAAAAATGTAGCTCCATATCAGCTGGAAAGATCAAGTCACTCCTCAGCAGCAAAATAAATTTGGAGTCAACCAACCAGCTCTTTTGTTTCGCTTTGGACGTCATAGCTGCAAATTAAAGTGGACAAAGTCCGGGAAAACTTAGGTTTAGGGGTATGTTAGGTCAATTTTATCGCCTTAGCCTCCAGCTGATTTCAAAAAGCGCTAGCCCTGCCTGCAAGTATGTTTCGCCGAGCAGCATTATCAAAACTGTGTCTCCAGGACGGGCACTAGCGTGCACTGAAACAGCTAATGTTCTCGCGCTACTATTGACACTGACGCTTCGAGTGAAAACGGCCACAAGAGTCCTGTGACTCAGCAGAAACCAATCATTCTGCTCAAGCATCCCTGTTTTAGCCAGATCTTCAACCGGTGTGTCGCTACGACAGGAACCTGACCTTGGACAGGCCCTGTACGGGTAACACGTGCCCCAGCAGTCAGCCCGACTCCGTGAGAAGGCGGCCGACCACCTGCGATCGCACTCAGCTGCTGGAGCAGCCAGGCTGACCCGGCCAGCAGCTGACGCAGGGGGGGGGGGGGGGGTCGTTCCAGGGTCGGATCAACCCGACTGGACACCGCGCAGCTGGTGTGAGGTCTGTCTGAAAATATATCAATCTGCGGTCCTTGTACACACGTTTGAAAAGCCAGGTGTGTTGCTTGCACCCATTGTCCAGAACACCGACAATTGTCCGCCACTGACTTGTTTTTGTTGTTCTGTTTTGTTTTTTTTGACTGTTAACGAACTCGATTGCAACAGATATCGACCATTTTCACTGGTGACACACGGGCACCAAGCTCAAGCACTGCTAATTACACGCTATATCCCACGCAGAACAGGACGCGATGTGACCAGATAGGCTTTGAGGTCGAAAGGACAATGGAGGACATACGAGCGACAATGGAGGACATACGAGCGACAATGGAGGACATACGAGCGAAAGCGCGGTAAGCAAACTCACTTCAGTCCAACTTTCGCATGCCACACGAGGAGACAAGTGTCATTTAAAACATTCGACCAGTAGACTGAAAGCACAACAGATATGACTGTCAAACCCTTGGAGACATGTCCGATCGCTTTCGCCCGCGCCAGCCATATGTGCAGCACACCTCAAGCGCCAATTGGCCCTCAATGAAGTGACACCATCCGCCGCCGACCGTCCCATGCTCCACCTGGCCGCCGCACAATACAGCCGGTCGGACAAGTGCGCACTAGACTGGCGTGACGGCAGATTACTGGTCACCGCTGCGGTTGTAACACGTCCCCACCGCGGCGCGGGATCGATTTTCGCCAAGTGTCGGCGCCACGTGCGATGTGCTGGGAGGGGCGAGTCGACGGTGACGGTGCTATCGGGGCGGTCGCATGACACACGGGGTTCCGTCCGCCGCAGCCGGGGCCGTTACGGAACCGAGAAAGACGAGAGACGAGACGAAGGACGAGATTGAGAAATGCTCCGGTTGATCGCATTCCGTAGGAGTTTTGGGGATATGCAGGGAAAAACGCAAGAATGCCTACACCTCGTATGAGTAACGGGATAAACAGGGCAACGTGTCATAAGAAATGCCTTGTTTGCGCTGTTATTTACCGAATCGTTATTGATCACCGATGTTTTCGTACTGAGGGGCACAGAAATCACACTATACCAAGAGCTATGGCTGCGTGGCAACGTTGTGATGAAGGATGCTCATCCAAGATGTCTGTAACGTTTTAAGCCTGTGGTGTATTTGTTTGCTATTCCTACGTTAAAACGGATATTAGTGCTCCTTTCTTACGCGAACCCGAACTCTCTTTTTGTTTTGCCTTGTTTTTGCCGGATGTTTTTTAGAATGTCAGCCAAGCCAACGTCATTCAAACCTACGATTTATTTGCCGTTCCAGAGGGGTTGGTCGGATTCCCCCAAGGTGACGAAAACAGCACGTTTTTCATTTCCCCAGCCTCGGTTTTCGGAGTAAAAAATTCCAAGCGCGATGCATGAAGCTTAGCCATCAAGATTCCACACTGAGTTGGCTCTTTGCCAAAGCAGACTGCCGTCAAGTCGGGCTGTTTAATGATGGAAACCGTCCAGTCACTACGGCCAGACGCCGAATCCACTCACAGCTCTCCAACGCTCACAATACAAATATGAACGATTGATATCCAAACAGTCTCAGTATTTCTTGCAAGACGTTGAGAGGACCAACACATAGCAAAGTGAAGGATTACGTTAAATGGTTTAGCATTTCTTAAATCCATATTCAGAAAAACGTTTCATTAACGTGTAGGCTATATATCACCGGGTCGCGACACTATACGGGGTTGAAGCCGGATCAGAGCGACGGAGCCGATCTCAAATCGATTTCAAGCCATACTCCACGCCCGAACGAGACCAGTGAGCGCCGTCCAATATGCGCTCCGACGGCAGGGATCGACCAGCGACGCCGACACTAATAACGGCCCTTCAGCGAAACCGGGAAAGCCACCCAGGGATGACCGCTTCTTGTACCGGGACGAGACCCGGCCTCGGCGTCGCCGAGCGGCGCGGGCGACCACCCACCTTTGGCGGTGAGGCTGAACGCGGGCGACCACCCACCTTTGGCGGTGAGGCTGAACACGGGCGACCACCCACCTTTGGCGGTGAGGCTGAACGCAGGCGACCACCCACCTTTGGCGGTGAGGCTGAACGCGGGCGACCACCCACCTTTGGCGGTTAGGCTGAACGCGGGCGACCACCCACCTTTGGCGGTGAGGCTGAAGTTCCTGAGGCGGTAAGCATCCGGATCGTCCGGGTCGGGCTCCTGCTGCGGCCGCTTCTTGTAGCGGGACGAGGGCGAGGCGCGCCCGACGCCGCCGCCCGGAGCGCGACCGCGAGTGGGCCGGCGCGCCAGCGACGGCGAGTCCTCCGGGGTGCTGACGCTGGGCAGCGGCGGCCGGCGCGCGCGACGTGGCGCCCCCGGCGAGCCCTCGGGCGTGTACGTCTGCATCACCGGGCCCTCGGCCGTCTGGTAGAACACCTTGCCGCAGCTGGGCGCCTTGTGCAGGAACGGGTGATAGGAGGGCTCGCCGCCCTGCGTCAGGCAGTCGGTGCTAGCCGCGTCGGCGAGGTCGAGCGCGTCGCCCTTCTTGTCGCGGCGCCGCACGCGCGGCCGCGCGCCCTGCACGCGGCAGCTCTGCGAGCGGCGTGCGGCGGCGGCCAGCTCCCGGGCGGGCGCCGCCGTCCAGCCGGCCGACCCATCCGCCGACGGCTCCGCAGGCTCGGGCGCGCCGGCACAGAACGAGGCCGAGCGGCCCTTCTGCGAGCCGTGCACCTGCAGCAGCTGGTCATCGCGCAGCGTCATGTCCGCCTGCCGCGGCGCGACACCCGGCACTCACCCGCGCCGTCGTCGACGACCGGCCACTGTTGCGTCGGCCGAGAGCCGCCGGACGGAATTAGGCGGACGACTTGGCAGCGGCGCGCCGGCGGACGCGGCGCGACAGAGCCGGCGGCGGCGGCGCGCCGTCCGACGCACCGGCGCCCGGCGCGGGCCGGCCGGCCGCGGCCGGGTCAGGTCAGGTCAGCGCCGCGGTGGCGGTCACGAGCCCCGCCTGACCGCGCCCAGCGCTCCGGCCACCGTGATTCAGCGCCTATTTCGGGCGGTGGAACAACACTGGCGCCGGAATGCTCGCGCCGGCAGTGTGCCCCACATTCAGCGGGGGCGCAGCGGCGCCGGCGCGCTCGACGCACGGGCGGCGCCGCGCGTCGGCCGGCGCGGGCGCTCCCTCGGCTCCGTCGACGCCCCGGGACGGACCCGGCGGCAGCCCGGCCGCGCCGACAGAGGTATCGAGCCTCCTGAGCCAATCTAGTGAGGTCTCGCCACCCCGCCGCCCGCGACGGAAACGCCGTCTCTGCGGCGAAGGCCTCATACCGGCAGCTATCACCATACGCCGGCCGATATTGCCGCGAAAATCCTCGGCCAGTGGCCGCCGGCCATATCGTTGGAGAATGATGGCCGATTGAATGACTCATTAAATGATAAAGTCTAGTCGATCGGGCTCAGATGTCTGCGCTGATTAGTGACCGGTAAAACCCATTCCTATTGACCAGCGTGGCTTGGGCACGCCCGCTGAGCGACCCCAGGCGCGCCCCGGGCGGCTTCGCTCGCTTTCGGCGGCGTCGGCGGGCGACACCTGCGCCCCCTGCCGGTACCGCTGACAGCCGGCAGGGTGGCCGCGTGCCCACGCCAGGCCGGCGGCGCCACGGACTGAGATCATCGCATCAGGGGCCGCCCGACCAGAGCCTCAGCGCCCGTGGGTTGGTAGTGAGCGAAGCCGACGTCCGGTGGCGACCAGCTGGGTGCGTCAGCGAGCGGCCTCTGCCGTGACAGTGCATGGGACTGACGATCCGTGCACACAGGGTGTAATAGAGACCGGCGATGATAATATGCCAGGGTACATCTTGCAGACCAGGTATTTCGCGACGTCACTCTATCCACAGACCAGTCGCAATGCCTTTCAGTGTACAGGAGTGACAATCTGTGTTGACGGGGGGTCGTCAACACACCATCAGCGTTGAGCTGACGACAACTGACGACAGTCTCGTCAACAGACCGGGTGCGGCGCTCTGTCACGGCGCGGCTGAATTATAGTGTGCCACGCTGCTGCTAACAAGGCGGCAGCAGTGTGCCACAGCTGTAAAACTCGTCGGCACGCAGGTACCCGTGTAATGTAGCACACGGCGAACTCAACTGATTTAAAACGACCCCAAATGATTAAGGGTCGTTTGTGGGCGCCACACCAACAGCCGCGCCAACAACGGCAGCCAAACGCCCGCCCCCCCCCCCCCCGCCCCCCGCGCGGCGCCATTCCACCGCGCGGCGGGTCGATCCCGCCGTCTGGGCACCACGGCCGACCACCTGGCCCTCCGCACCACCTCTCCAACCCCTCCCCTCCCCGCCCGCCAAACGACGGCTTGAATGAGCCGCTGACGGCCGCCGTCATCAAGCCGTTGTGGCGACGACTCGGCGCGGTCGTCCATTCCGGCGAGCCGACCGCCCACTCATCTCGACGACGACTTTGATGAACGGCGCTCGACGCGGTATTGCATTGCCCGGAGGCCAGCGATCGTTCATAAGGCCAGCACGCTGCGCTGGTCAATCTCGACAAGAACACGGGCTCGGCGCGCGTCCCACTCAGACGCGTCTCCGACGCAAACTTCTCAGACGGCGCACACAACTTGCCGGCGCCCACAGATGAAGCGCTCGCAAAGTTTTCGACCAACGGCCGTATTAATAAAGTCAGTCTGCAGCATGTATGGCTTTTTAACCGCGTCCTGTGAGCATATGGGAAGGACACTGGTTGGCTTTTCCTACTCGACTTTTGCATCAGGCAATCACAGCTCAAAATAGGAAATACACCTGCGCTGCCTCTGTCCATATGTACAAATGAAGCGAATTCAAAGAGGTCCAATTTTCTTTGAAAACCAGACTACTTAAACGCTCTGAAAAAAACACACACACACTGGGTCATCTCGCGCGCCACGAATGCTCGCGGCGACAATTGTTACTGGCGCGTCAGCTGTCGTCCGAAGATGCATCATCCTCATCCAGCAGCAGGGCGGCGAACTTGTTGCCCACCAGCTGGGGGTCGGGCCGGCGCGGCCGCTTGGGCGAGGCCGTCGGCTGCGCGTCACCGCCCGCGTCCAGCGGCCTGGCCCGCTCCGACGAGCCGTCCTCCCGCGCCGAGTCCTCCTCCGAGGACGCGACGCCGTCCCTGCCGCGGCGCCGGCCTGTCGCGGCACGGCGGCCGCCTCCTCGTGGCGGCGGCGGCGGCGCGGCCGGGCGGACATGGCCGCGCCGCCGGCAGCTCCGGCGCCACCTCGGCCGCGCGGCAGAGCTCCGCCAGCTCTCGGCGCCACTCGGCCAGCGCCGGCGGCGCCAGCCAGTCGGCGGCGCGCGCCAGCCCGCCGCGGCGCAGCTCCAGCGTCGCGTTGTAGAACAGCGGGCCGGCCAGCAGCTCGGCCGGCGACGTCACCGGCAGCGGCGTGCGCAGCAGCGCGTTCACGTTGGCCGCCTGCGCCAGGACGCACTGCAGCTGCGCCAGCTGGTGCAGCAGACGGCGGTCGGGCTGCCGTTCGCCCGACAGCAGGCACGGATCGGCGGCCGCCAGCGGCGCCAGGCCGGCGGCGGCGCGCCGCGGCGCCAGCAGCAGCGCGCCCACGTGCGCAGCGCTGACGGTGCCGGCCGCGTGGCGGCGCCAGTAGCCGAGCGCGGCGGCCAGCAGCTGACGCGCCGGCGGCACGGGGTCGACGAGCGCAGGCGGCGCGCCCAGCGCGGCCAGCACGGCCAGGCGCCGCTGCTCGGCGTCCAGCGCGGCGGCGGCCAGCAGCGGCGGCGCGACCGGGTCGGGCAGAATGCGCCGCCGACCCACGCTGCGGCCCGCCCCCTGGCGCCGGTACTGGTGGACGGGGACATCGCGCGCACCGTGCACGCAGCCGACCATCCAGCGGAACAGCGGCTCCACGCAGGCGCAGGCCGGCTCCTGCGACTGGTCCTCCACCTGCAGCCAGAGAGAACAGTCAGTACGGCGGCAGTGAGGCTCCACGCCGGGACGGCGCCGCTCAGCCGACATCTGGTGGACACCGCGGGAACCAACACGTGGTTGGCAAACCGGCACCGTACCACAGCCCGCCGAATGCGATCACTGGAGTGCGGGTGGGGGGTGGGAATGGGGGAGCTGATGGGGGGGAGGGGGAAGTTAAGCTGCAGGGCCGGGGCGGGGGCTTTGTTCCGGACACCAAATGACCAATTGCACATTACATAAGGGTGGACAACGCTCGAGACACAGTCACACAGAGGCAGAGACACAGACAACGGTCACACCTTTTCAACACAGTTGGATCTAAATGCATCACACTCTTTCACGCCTAAGTATATGAAAATTGAATCATGTCCGCAGCATCTATAGTCCCATTATACAGAGTTTAACTCACGTAACAATTTGATAAATTTCAAGGACTGAGAGCGGGACTGGTGTGGATTGGTGAGAGCGGGGCAGGTGTGGAGAAGGGGCGAGAGCGGGGCGGGTGTGGAGGAGTGGCGAGAGCGGGACGGGTGTGTAGGAGTGGCGAGAGCCGGGTGGGTGTGGAGGAGGGGCGAGAGCGGGGCGGGTGTTGAGGAGTGGCAAGAGCGGGACGGATGTTGAGGAGTGGCGACAGCGGGGGGAGCTGAGGCGATTTAGTCAACGTTGTATGCGTGCTTGCGTGCGCTGTGTTTTACATGCTTCGTTCCGACGCGTTCCCTGGTTGTGCCATCCATGTAACAACCAACGGCTGCTGCTCTCGCCCCAAACCCGTAGGTCTTCCAATGCGGTATCTTTCATTTGGGAAGAAATGGATTGATTGATTGATCATTTTTCAAAACTTGGCGTGCTCGGAATGACCTGCCATCATTAATGCCCTTCGGAATGACCTGCCACCATTAATGACCTCAGAGCAGCAACCTGCAGCGCAAGGCTCATCGACTGTGAACAGAGCTCATCGAGAAGAGATCGGTCTTCCACAATTCCTATCAAATGCTCTGCTATAACTGCTGCCCCGCGAATGTAACATCAATCCACAAGTCGTGTGCGAAGTCGACCTCAAACAAACTTAACGATCGGCCAAGACAAAACGGGTCAAGTTTGCTGAATTCACACTCCACATACTTTGTCTAAAAATTCACAGCAGAAATGCGCCTTATGATAACATTACAGCTTGTGAGGGAGACAAAGGTTCATATGCTTCCGGGTAAATATGAATCCAGAATACCATCAAATCACATTTCTTCGACACAACCCCAGTGCGTGCGTCCCCTCAACTTGTCTCGTAGGGGCGCCGGTGGCGCGGTAGTTAACGCGCCCGCGTTAGCGCAGCAGCTGAGTGTGTTGTAACGCCCAGAGACGACATGATTCGTGACGCTCATGACAGAACAAATGAAGTCGACATCATTCGCCAATGCTGGCGCCACATCATTACTTCACGACAGAACGACGTCCTTGCAAGGCGATTAGACGATGCTGCGCGCACCACGACATGTGACCTCATATCTTCGTTCAGTGTGCGCGATTTCTCCACTGCGTTGGAACCTTGCATCACGCTGAATGCGATCGCAGACTGAATTGACGCGTGAGTTGATGAACCACGCTTGCGTCCGCGAAGTATTTCCGAACCCGGAATTAGCAGGCAATTCAATGAACGTGAACATGAAGCAACGTATCTGACATTCCGTCATATTCCGCCTTCGGATTTCCTTTACCTCCACCTCGAAACCGGCTTCCGAATCTTTGCTGGCTGAGCTTTTGAGGCCCGTTCTAGAGTCGGCCAGACATACGAATGAATGCATCCACAACAAGCGACGCATGCACCTACCATGCCACGGATGACGACATAGTCGCATCGAGCCGCGGCTCATCAAAGACGAGGGCGAGCGCACGCGAGCAGCGGCGGGCTGACGCGGGACACCCGGCAGCCATCACCCAGCCGCCTGAAGCCTGCGCCGCCGCCGCCACCTACCTGCGGCTCCTGCAGCAGCGGCTGGCCGCAGACGATGTTGATGACGTCAGACGTTAGTCGCCCTCGGCGCAGCGCGTCCAGCAGCCAGGGCGGAGGCGGCTGACCGTTCAGCAACAGACCGGCGCCCGGCTGCCCGGCCGGCGGCCGCTGCCCCGGCTCCGACCGCCCAGCAGCGGGCGGCAGCGCGGGCGCAGGCGCGGGCACGTCGGCAGCGGGCAGCAGGGCGGGCGCGGACTCATCGGCAGCGGGCAGCAGCGCGGGCTCGGACTCATCGGCAGCGGGCGGCTGCGTGGACTCGGACTCGCCAGCACTGCGCGGCGGTGACCGGCTGGACTCCCGAGCCGCAGGTGGGACCTCGTCACCAGACATTTGGGCCGTGGCCGGCAGTTGGGGGTCGGCGACCGGCGGGTCAGCTTCGAGCAGGGCCTGGAGAGAGCCAGGCGATCATCAGGACACCGACACCTGTCGGGGATCTGGCGCCATGCCAGGACACCATCAGGACACCGACACCTGTCGAAGATCTGACGCCAAGCCACGACGCCATCAGGACACCGACACTTGTCCGAGATCTGGCGATAAGCCAGGACACCATCAGGACACCGACACTTGTCCCGAGATCTGGCGCTAAGCCAGGACGCCATCAGGACACCGACACCTGTCGGAGGTCTGGCACCAAGCCAGGACGCCATCAGGACACCGACACCTGTCCGAGATCTGACGCTAAGCCAGGACGCCATCAGGACACAGACACCTGTCGGGGGTCTGGTGCCAAGCCAGGACGCAATCAGGACACCGACACCTGTCGGGGGTCTGGTGCCAAGCCAGGACACCATCAGGACATCGACACCTGTCGGAGATCTGGCGCCAGGCCAGGACGTCGTGGGGGCGCATAGAGAGGGCACCTTCATGTTATTCACGACCGCAACACGATTTTGAGGTACATTTCAGACATCCCATGGCAAACGAACGCCATGCGGATGGTTACAGCCGTTACAAAAGCTACAGGGCCTTTGAATTTTAAGGATATGAATGGACGGACGAATACAGGGTTAAAGGAGCCGGACATATATGTACACTCACAGAGCTGCGAGACGTGTACTCCAATGATTCAGAAAGCACAGCAGAACAAAGAGAGAAACTCTTCAGCCTCCCGCATCCGTAACCGTACGCTACACGTCGTTCGGGTTTGTCTACCACAGAAAGCAGCTCCATGATCACGACTGGGACCTTGGGGCCAGACTTTCATGTTACACATCTCCCCAGGGATGGCCTGCACACCCGAAACGATGAAGCCAGCCGCGGCCAGTGAGCGGCACACGGGCGGCCGACCTACCGGGCGCTCGCAGCCCCGCGCCCGCGCCAGGACGTGCGGCGGCAGCTCCAGCCACTGCAGCAGGTCAGTGGACGGCAGGACGTAGTTGGCCATCGACCGCCGGACCAGGGCGAGAACGGTCGGCCGCTCCTCCTTCTTCAGCTGCGTCATCACCTGAGCACGGCGTCCAGAGCGTCGTCAGCATCGCACGGGGTCCGCTGGGTCGGCGTCAGTGCACGCGCCCCACCGGGTGGTCGCGCTGAGCGGTCAGCCGAATCACCAGTAGCGCGTGAGGTAGCTGCATCCTTGCTATCACACTTGGCTTGTTGAAGAACTACCGGCGCCTCGACTTTGCACTTACGAGCCTGTGCGTCCATGACGTGAGCGTGGAGGTTTAGAGGGGTGCAGCCATTGTGGGTCACCGACATCAACAACATTTATATCACGAAAAATGTGCGGCCGGATGGATCGTCTCACTTTAAGCAGACATTTTTGCCACGCGCCGCACATGTCACCGAGTTATTGAGATGGTTAGTTACAGCCGCGTGACATCTTCTAACCAGCCTCTCAGCTACTGTATACAGACACACTGAAGACTGCAGGATCCCCGGGTTTCATTCCCAGCCGACCAGCGCAGTGGTAAGCAAAAAAGAAAAATACATTTACTCCAGCCGCTGCCGCTACATCAAAGTGCAGCGCGACGCCACGCACCGTGTGCCTGAACAGCGTAAGACTCCCCATGCGCACCCCAAGCGCAAACCCTGTGCACACTTACGCCTACAGCGGCCTATCCCGGCCACCCGTCTGTGACCAGCTCGAGCCACCCACGCCCACCGGGAGCCCGCTCACCTCGTCCAGGGCCGGCTGCGGGGCGTCGTGGCGGCGGAGCCAGGCGAGCAGGCCGCGAATGCGCCGCTCGGACGGCCGGCCGCGCCGCTCGCCGTACGGCCGCGGCACGTGCAGGAAGAACTTCTGCAGCGCCGCCGGGCTGATGTAGTCGTTGCCGAGCAGGCAGGCGAACAACGGCATGAGGCGCGGCTTCAGGCCGTAGTGTGCCATGAAGCTGCGGAGGAGGCGGGAAGTAGCGACGGCGGCGGGCGTGTCACGCGCTGGGCGGTCGCTGACGACTGCTTAGAGATGGCCATGTGAAGTTCGTGTCATTTTATGTCGTGGAGCCTCGCATCCGAGTCCACATCCGTTCCACACAGAGCAATACGGGTGCAGCACAATAGCAAGCACGAGCGGAACCGTTACACCGATCCCCTCCCCCCCCCCTCCCCCCACCTGACCGGCGATCAGACGGGACCCACAGCCGACGCCGCAGGACTTTCCGTCCGATAGCGTAGTGGTTAGCGCGTCTGCGTTAATCACGACACGGTCCGGGAAACCAGGGGTACAGGGTTCGATTCCCCGCGGTGCCCGCCCTTCTTGCCTGGGAGAGGCAGGCGAAGCCATAAGGCCTCCGCAGCTGAGCGCGTCGTAAAGCCCCGATTACGCACACTCACCGCGTGGCTGACGGCCTGGCTCCAGATCGGAAGGCGTGGGTTCGACCCCGCCGCAGGACACTTTCCTCGGACGCGCTTTTCACCAGGGTTGGAACCGCCTATAGTCATAGTGGTCGCAGGCGCCGATTACCCTATTCATGACTACTGGAACTGCTCTCCGCGACTTTTCACCACTGCCGTGGCGGCTGGGGACACGACTCACCGATCGTGGCGGAAGAGCACGCATTCGGTGTACCAGCGGCCGTCGTCAGTCCGCTCCGGCGCGGCCGCCAGCGAGCCGAGCGGCACGCAGGGCACGCCGAACGCGAAGAAGTCGGTGTCGTCGCTGACGACGGCGCAGCCGAGGTGGGCGGCCAGCGCTGCCAGCGGTTCGTCCGCCTCGAAGTCGCACACGGCGTGCGACACGCGCAGCCGGCGCAGCACCTGCACGGGCCGCGGGTGGGTCAGGACAGGTCTATGTGCTTGTGCGCAGAGGGCGCGGGTGTGCTGTGCGCAGAGGGCACCGCTAACGTGGGTGGCACCAGTGGGGGTGGCAGACCAGACGTCCCTCGGAATGTTGACAGTGCTGGCCAAACAATAGGGATGGTGTTTGCTGACATCAGTTGCAGCACACTGCTAAACTCCAATAACTACAACCACTCGCGGACTGCAGCACGAGGATCTTGTGTAGCATCATGTCATCAGGGGTGTTACTGCCATATCCATAAGGAGGGGATGATGGTGTGGCTGCTTGGCTTGTTTGATCCTGTCAATCAAATACTGATCCAGTGGTTGCGCTTTTTGCTGTGCAGTCACGTCACTAATAGAAAAAAACGCCACAGCTTATTTTAAAGGGCGAGCGGCACATATCGTTCCACTCTCTTACAGAGTGCCAGTGACTGCATTGGGCACGTTAACATTGCAGGGCAATGGCGTAACCAGCCCCCTTCCCCAGTCCACGGCTTAAGGTGCTAACCACTAGGCCATTTTGCCTCTATCCCCTGAGCATCGCAGTGCAGTGAACCCATGACTTATATGTGGGCCATGATAGAGCCCACAGACAACAAAACACTTCAGCATTCTGTAGTGATTGTAGTGTTGGTGGTGTGGTTGCCTGACTGGCATTCTGGTACAACAGATATGTACTGGCTGGTAAATTAATGTGTACATTAAGAACATACATACCCAAGATAAGGTGTTACCAATGGAATTAAACCTAATCTTATCAGCAACATCACAGTCTCAATGTAATTGACTGTGGCCATTTATAATGTCTGAACACCTGTATTCAGAGTATGAATGGCTGCTGGCTTTCACAAAGATGCTGGTGGGTGACCATATCAAGTAATGTATTGCTGTCTATGGCAATGACTGCCATTACACACCCAGAGAGTGATGAAAACAAGTTATTAATTTTTTGCTAAGGTGAGGCAGGGTCATCTCTAGCATTGCACATATATGGTCAAAACCAGCAATTCATATGAAATGTAATGATCTGTACCTTGGGCTAGACTTAAAAAGAATGCACTCTCCCTTTCCCCAATGAGACCTGAGAAGCTGTAACAATAATTTGCAGCACCAAATTGTAAAAGTAGACTTACCTCAAGAAAAGTGGTTTTAGAAAGGTGTGGAAGACATGTATGTCTGCCCTGTGATGATGGGGTAAGTTTTGTTGTCCTTTCCAATTTTTCATTAAGTCTCTTAAATGCCGTTTTCAACTTGCGGTTGCTTGGATCTGATCCACCATCCAGCAGCACAATGGGTGTGATCTCACATCTAGAATGTAATAGGAGCCAAGTGTCAATGTGTCAAAGCTGGAATCATCACAGATAAAACATAGCCAATCAGATAATATTTCAAGCAGTAACACATATATTTGTCTGTTACATCAACTTGCAATGACATAATGCACTTGCTTCCTTGCCAACACAGAGGTTCACAAGACAATCCCAAACTTTTGACATGCATGGTCACATTGAATGCAACATAAAATTACCACCTACATGATTAATGTGCTTAAGCTAAGGTGCTGGGCTGCCTTTCCAGATGCTTGCATAACTATATTTATACAATACAGAGACAGGTGACATAGATAATGATTAAAGAAAATGAAGAACCCTAATTTGACCTTCACATTACAGATATTTACATTCTACTACTTACTTCATCAAGTTCCGGAAGAATTCTTCCACTTTAGATGAATACTTCTTGTAGTCTCCTCCAAAAGCAGAATTTAAGCCTTTACATGTGCTACTCAAACGGTAAATCAGATTATCTCCATCGATGACCACAACTTCATTGCAAAGTTCATGCCTGCTAAGAAATTCATCCTGGTGTTTTTTCACGAAGGTTGAGAGACCACGAACACCCATTCTGGATTAAACTTATACGGTCGTACAACAGCCACGATAGACCCCACCGCCACGCAACCCAGATCCCTCCCGCTGCTCCCCGCGGGCCTGCGTACGGTGGCCCCCAATTCGCACGTGCGTTTTCGCACACATCCTCAAAGTAGTTTTGACAACAGCGCGCCGAAATTGTAGCCATCCCAAAATGCCAATAGAAACAAAAGAGAAGTCAGGTAGGGTCTAAAAACCGGCATATGACGCAGCCACGCACGTTTTCCGAAACGCCTCGTCTGATCGCCTTGAAACCTTTACCAATCGATTATTTGCATTGAAGTGAGTCATGGAGAGGTAGTTCGAGACCTGACCTGAGGTCAAACACCTCTCAAAGCCTACTGCAGTTCCACATTTGGTGTCTGAGCCCAGTGGCCAGTCGACCGCCGTGTCCCTAGGTTGGGTTAGAAGTCGACAAATTTCACAGCATAAAATTATTGTTTGCGGACAACTTACAGCTCAGAACCTACCAAGCCGATTACTGTGAAACCTTTACCATTGGATGCCCCATGCCTGATTCTCTGGCAGTTCCAGATTTGGTGACCCTTGGTCAGATCAAAAGTCGCCAAATTTCAGAGTCCAAAATTCTTGCTGGCAAACTACGTATAGTTCAGAATCTACCACGCCGATAGCTGCCAAACCGTGCCATTCAGTATGCCATCTACCTTAATTCTCCGTTGAAGCTGCAAGCGTGGTGCCATTTACCATTATCTTTTCCCCTATGTTTGCTCCCGAGAAAATGTGCAGCTTGGTTTGGCTGGTCCCGTGAGGTTGAGTTTCTTCCTAGCGGAGGTGTTAATCATGGCGATACCATGCATAACTCGGCGCATAATTTTCAGCACAGCACCTCCGCTAAGTAGAAATTTCATCTCATAAGGCCAGCCTAACCAAGCCGCACTTTTGCTCCGGAAAAAGCAGAAAGGAAAATACATGATTATAAATGGCATCACACTTGCAGCTTCAACAGGGAATTAGGGCAGATGGCACACTGAATGGTAAGGCTTGGTAGCTAAAAGTTGTCTACCAGCAAAAATTTTGGACTTCGTGAAATTTGACGACTTTTGACCTGACCTAGGGTCGCTAAATGGGGCACTGCCACAGAGTATCAGGTATGGGGCATCCAATGGTGAAGGTTTCACGGTGATCGGTCCGATAGGCTCTGTTTGCATGTAAAATTTTCGTTTAGCGTTTTCGAGGTGTTTGACCCCAGGTCAGGTCACGATATTACCTCCCCATGACTCATCTCAATGCACGGAATCGATTGGTGAAGGTTTCAAGGCGATCAGACAAGCCGTTTCCGAAAACTTGTGTGTCTGCGTCACATGCCGGTTTTTAGACCCTGCCGAAAATCTATCCAAAACTGTTTCAGTCTTTCTACCGGCCTGGGCTCCCTACATAATTGAACATAAATATGATTCCGGGACGCCAAAAAAAAAAACAACAAAGGATCGAATCAAGTACCGTAAAAAAGGAACATCTACGCTACTGATCTTCACAGAAGTCACAGGTGCGCGTGACATTGGCGGTTTCACGGAGTTGAGCAGTGGTGAGGGGTACGGCAGTCTGACGATGCTCTTTGAAGGGATGAGTAAATATTGCAAAAGTTGATCTCGCAATAAAGTAGAGGGAGAGCATTTTTTTCAGCGATTCTCCACCCTCAGATTGTCAAAAGGCTGCTCTCACGTCTTGAACATTTAAAAAGCTGCGAATTCAAAGGGTTGCCACCTGTCTGGGCGCAGCCACAAGATGGCCCCGCGTTTGGAATGCCCAGCGTTCGCACACACAGGCCGTGTTGATTCGGGTGTTGTGAGACCATCTGCCAGACATTGCTCGGCCGATGTTGGACTGGCATGAGTGATGTGATAGTGTGTGTGATCCGTTTCAGCGGAACATGAAATCTGTTGACAGACCGTATTATATTATATTGTGCATTTGTGCGTATATTGGTAAGTAAAGTTTCAGATTTGCTGATCAACGAGGTGAATGATCCAAGCAACGCTGAAGGCATCGGCCTACGTGTACCTCCCAATCAAATTAGCTAAGGATCCATTCAACCTACCTGTGCAAATTTGCATGCGAGTTCCCACGTAAAACTTAGGACTAGAATAAAACTACGGAAGACAAGTCTCTGTCGTCCAATCATTCGGCTCCTCCTGGTGCCATCATCCAGCTTGATCGTCATGTTGCAGATGAAGTCCTGCCCACGCTTGGCGTCTTGCTGTTAACACGCGCCCGGGTGAGGGTTCAATTTGACCCTCCAAAGGTTTTTCCCGGAATGCTTTCTGAGCGGCGCGGTGTAGCCACGCTAAATTTGGTATAGCTGTATACAAATGAATAGCATACTATTTAGTATCAAACCCTCAGTTGTATCTTATAAAGCTTATCACCTACATTAGGTCAAAGTCAGGCCATGGATTTAGCAAAGAGAGTTTCTGGGGAATCGTTCAATCTGGTGCAACGGAATGTTAAACGAAGCCATGCATCTCTGTGATGGCCTCATAGACAACAAAACAACTAAAGTAACAGATTGTATTGACCTAGGGTCAGATATGAAGGCTAAACCAAGGTCAAAGCCAACTTGTTCTATCACTGCAGAGCTTGCTGTATGGGGTAGTTTTTGGCGCACATTTGGAACTTATTGATAACAGGCGGCGCATTATGCATCTTCCATTGACTTCCTAGAAGTCAGAATAGGCCACTGGCCTAAAATGACCCAGGTCAACATTTCGTTCTAAGAACATATTTCCTAGCGTAACACTTAACGCTTACTCAAATGCAAAAACCAAAGCAGTGTTGCATGTTTTGGTCCGTATGACCTTCAAGAGGTCACATAAAGTTACTGAAATTAAATGAGCACCAGTGAACTTTTGCTAAGAAAAGCCATCTAGGCTCAGATTGGTTGCATGAGAAGGTTTGGGAGCATTTTGGATACCAACCTGGAATTTGACCTTGTTTGACCTCATTTAACCCAAGGGTCATCACCTTGGACCCCTCAAATTTTGACCACAGCCTGAGTTTAGGTATCAAGCCCAAGACACCCCGTGATTTCGTCTGTCTAAGCTCCCTTAGTTTGTGAGATATCATGGGGTCGAATTAACCCTCCACCCGAAGCTAGGTATTCGGCGCGGGCCACCCAGCGCAGTGTTAATACTCAAGGCAGGCTACTGTTATGCATTGGACTTATAGTAGTTTGCATGCCGTACATAAAACAAATTATTATATATATATATATATTTATTAGGGGATTATATAATATATAATATCTATATATAGTCATATTATATATATATATATGTGTTATATATATATATATATATATAATATATATATACATTATATAATTATATAATTTATTTTATTAGGGGATATATATACATTATATATATATATATCATATATATATATATATATATATATATATTATATATATATATATATACATATATCTATGTCTCCCCTATATTTCGCTTTTTAGTGCAATACCCTTGTAACCACTTAAACAGGTGGCCCTTTCTTCCTTTCTTGATACGTGTTGCTTCCCATAACTTGCACACTTTGATATCACATGCTGACATTACCATCAATGCAACCTGAAGGGATTATTTAGTAAAACTTAGCATAGTCGAGCCCAGTATTTAATTGGATACAATAATGTTTGTCGTGGGTGGATCATATAATCGCACGTTCACGCCTACACGACTAGATTGGCTAAGGAGATATGCCTATATCTTCTTCCGTTTCCCCTATTCGTTCGCTAACATTACACTCGTAATGAATTCGTGAATCATGCAAATCCATGAAATACAAAAGGACATAGATGAAGTCATGAGCGTTGTTGACGATCAATGCCGCAGTGGGTGGGTGCCAAAGTCGTGATCAATGTACAAAAAGCCTGTGGAAAGCAGTCTCAAAACCTAAGCTGCGTCTTTCTTTTTGGTTGCTTATGTATTTCATTATATATATATATATATATATATATATATATATATATATATATATATATATTTATACCATAGGTGTAGGGGCGCTTCAAAAATTTGGGGGGGGAGCAAGCTCAGGGCGTATTTCAGGAGCTTGCCTTGAATCTTGCCTGTATAACTCGTATATGTCATTCGGCAAATAAGGCTATCCAGCTTCCCAAGATTTTTCTTCCACTTTAACATTGTCTTTCTTGCGGACGCGAAATTCCACGAGCGGGTAGACATTTTGGATCATTGAGAAGGCATCTGCATTCACAGCGCAGATGCCGAAATACGGCCTGGACGTAAGCTGGTTAGAATTTCGAATGTGAATCAATGGCTCATGGTGCGGCAGATTTTTCATGCACCTTTCATGCACCTCAACTCTTTTTGTATTTTCAAGTCAGTAAGCTGTGCATGTTAGGCGTTGAACCACCGCATGGAATTAATCACCGGTGCCCTTAATTTACAGTGGTTTAGCGGGTATAGATATATAAACCGATCGAATCCAGAGTCTTTGTCAGAATGTTTTATCTGGGTTCTATAGATATTAAGGACATTGCAAAGGTCAATTGTAGATCGATATGTTGATCGAAATTTGAAGATGAAAATGTGATCGTAAATTGAGTGGTCAACAATGTGGTCAACAATGTCGTTGTTGCGACGCGGACGGAATCTTCTTGTCAATCCGGAGCCTATTAGAAGGATTTTTCATATATTGTTCCCCTCCTTGACACGGGAGGTCTTTTGGCCCTCATAGTTGGCCCCGGATCAGCATGGAAACCTTTTCTGACGTAACAACATGCGTGATCGCCGCAGGTGGTCCAATGATTGTCACATAGACTACAGTTCTATGTTTTCTGTGCTCTTCAGAGATGTTGAGGACTCCCTGAATTGAGGACTCCCCGAACGTAGGTTGTAGATGAAATGGGGTCCCAAATTTGTATTAACATAGCTAATCCATCTTTGTCTTAAAATGTTCAAGATTCAGTCAGAATCGATTGAGGATAAACAACTATGTAATATTGTTTTTAACATGCGCGCTCGCAAGTCATAACTACGACAACCTCGGCGCCCGGC